ATCTTGTTCACCAGCCGTTGGTAGGTTGCTCCAGCGTTCTTTAGCCCAAAGGGCATGACCCTGTAGCAGTATGTCCCCTTTGGCGTGATGAATGATGTCTTCTCTTGGTCTGGGGGATGCATGCTAATCTGGTTGTACCCCGAGTATGCATCCAGGAAAGTGAGCAACTCATGCCCAGCGGTGGCGTCGATGAGGAGGTCAATCCGCGGCAGTGGATAACTATCTTTTGGGCATGCCTTGTTCAGTTCTGTGAAGTCGACACAGAGACGCCACTTCCCATTAGCCTTAGTGACCATTACTACGTTGGAGAGCCACTCTAGATACGCCACTTCCCTGACTGCTCCGTTATCAACCAGCTTTCGAATCTCCTTGTCCATGGCTTGGGCCCTTTCAGTGGAGGTTCCCCTTAACTTTTGGCGAACAGGCTTGTACTGCGGATCGACATTGAGGTGGTGGGTAGCTACTTCCGGGTTGATGCCCTCAAGGTCCTCATGCGACCAAGCAAAGATGTCCATATTATGCTCCAAAAATTCAATCAACAGGGGAGCCAGCTCTTCAGAAAGGGAAGAGCCAATGTAAATTCTTCTGTCTGGGTGCTCCTTTTTTAAGACCACAGGGATGAGTTCCTCGACTGGTTTTCCTCTTTCTGTGGCGGAGTCATCCCTTGGGTCAAGGACCTCAACTTGCAATGCTTCTTGGGGCTTCCTAGCCTTCATAGAGGATACATAGCACTCTCTGGCTGTTATTTGGTCCCCTTTGACCTCTCCGACTCCATTTAAGGTTGGAAAGCGGAGAACGAGATGGTAGGTAGAGGGCACAGCTCTTAATGTGTTAAGAGCTGGTCGCCCTAATATGATGTTGTAGGCTGACGGGCATTCTATTACCAGGAAATTGACCATGACTGTGGAGCTTCGGGGTGTTACTCCGGCGGTGACGGGAAGTGTGATGGATCCAAGGGGATACACTTTTTCCCCTGAGAATCCAATGAGGGGTGACCTGATTGGCTGTAGCCTCTCCCTGCCCAGGTTGAGCTTGTCATAGGCCTCTGCAAATAGGATATCTGCAGAGCTGCCACTACCGTCATGGTGAGCACCAAGGGGTCATCATGGGGGTGTTGGATTTCTTCCAGGTCCTTGTTTGAAAAAGATATGACCTCGTCGCTTTCCTGCTTCGGCACCTTAGATGGGCGCATCTCGTAGACATGTCTTGCCTTCCTGGCATGGGCCTTCATCGCGGAAAGTGATTCTCCTCCACCTGCTAGTCCCCCTGAGATAGTGTGGATTTCCCCCACAGGCTGCTGATCTTCCTGGTTGTGAGGTTGTGGTACACGTTCCCTTCCAGCAACGTACTGACGCAAGTGACCACGCTGGATGAGCTCCTCAATTTGCCTCTTGAGGTCGTAGCAATCGTCGGTGTCATGCCCGTGGTCACGATGGAAGCGGCAATACTTGTTAGGATTTCTGCGATTTGGAGGAGACTTCATTTTTCCAGGCCACTTTATCGCGGGGTCATCCTGGATCTGGAATAGGATGTGTTCCACGGAAGCATTGAGGGGAGTGAAAGGTTGACGGTTCCTCTGAGGAGCAGGACCTAGCCGGTCCTTGACAAGGACTTTCTCTGTCCTGCCATATTTGTTGCTGGTTTCCTTCTTATCGTCCTTCTCTCTTTCCTTCCTTTTCTCACCCGCTCTGGAAGACTCACCCCGCCTGGCCCTTGTAATGTCTTCTGCGTTTATGTACTTTTGGGCCTTGGCTAGCAGCTCTGGCATGCTCTTCGGTGGGCGCTTCAGAACTAAGAAAAGGAAACTTGATGAACGGAGGCCACCCAAGAAAGCGGTCATCGTCACCTTGTCGTCAGGTTCATCAACTTGGAGTACCTCCTCGTTAAAACGAGTGAGGTAACTTCTCAGGCTCTCCTCGCGGTCCTGCTTTATACTAAGCAGGTGCGTAACTGGTTTCTGGTGGCGACGCCCTCCTATGAAGTGTGAGACGAATGATCTGCTAAGCTCGGCGAAGGAGGCAATAGAGGCGGGGGAGAGCTTAGCAAACCATTGTCGGGCAGACCCCTTTAATGTGGTTGGGAATGCCCTGCACATGATTTCGTCTGGTACGTTGTGCAATTGCATCAAGGTCTTGTAAGTGTCGAGGTGGTCCAGTGGATCCTTTGTTCCATCAAAGGTCTCCACAGATGGCATTTTGAACTTCTGAGGGAGGGGGTAGTTTGCTACATCAGATTTGAAAGGGGTATCAGTACGCCTTACCAGGTGGTCAACAGTCTCGGGTCCCTGTGCCTTCATGGCTTTGAAGACATCACCGAGTTGATTTTGTACCTCCTTTGTCTTCTCGTCCCAATGATTGGGGGCTCCTTTGGAATGATCATGGAAGTGGCTTCCATGCCCCATGCTTTGGTTTTCACCCTCATCCTCCTGGAGATAAGGGTCATCTCCCTGGAAAGCAAGGGGAGGGGGAGGTGCAACTCCCTCATGTTGGGCTTCCTGAAGTGGGGTGCCCAATGGGGCACCTGGGCGTGGAGCAACAGGGCGTGGTGCTCCTTGATGTTCAGGATGTGGAGCTCCTTGGGGTGCTCTATGTTGTGCACCTCTGTGGGGCCCTCCATGTTGTGCACCTCCATGTGGTGCTCTACGTTGTGCACCTCCGTGTGGTGCTCCTCCTTGTCCAGCAAGTATGAGTTGCAGTAACTGTTGATTTTGAGCAACCAGTTGCTGCATGGTCTCCAATATTTGTTGGGGATTCGGGGCTAAAGTATCCGGAACAGGGTTGATAGGCGGGGGAGCAACCTCCTCCTCTCGTGGAGGATTGTCTTCGTGTTGGTTCATGGATCGAGTAAGTGATCGCCATTAGTTAATGGACGTAATGTTCAGGAGTGAGAATTTTGTCGATTTTCCACAGACGGCGCCAAATTGATGATGCACAAAAATGGTTTTGCACACCACCTGTCAAGTATAGATAATAAATGCAATGAAATCAACAAAAAAATTAGAGAAGACACAATTTATAGTGGTTCGGTCAATTCGACCTACGTCCACTCTTCAATGGCTTCAGTCGCGGGGTATTTTATTGATTCAAAGGTATGGAGAATGAAGATACAAGCTTTGAGAGGGGGAATGGAGAATCAAAAAAAATAATAATCTCCGGTAGTCGGTTCGTCTTCTGTAAGTCTCTGATGGAGCATGTGTCCTTCCTCTCCCAGATTAGAGCCATTTTATAGTAGCTAAAAGATCATTCTTGTGGAGATCATGACATATCCTCAAGGCTTCTTTATCGCAGCTTAGAGATTATCTTTGGTGGAGATCACGACTTATCCTCAACGGAAGGAAGAGGTTGGGGAGCTCTTCATGAAACGTGGTCAAAGATTGGACCGTTTTCTTCCTTCGGTGGTGCGGATAAGCTTCCCGTGCTCTCTTCTTGGTGACATGCTAAGCAAGAAGTCTAACCGGCCTTGGGCTGTCTTGGACTTGGTGGATTTGGACTGTTTCCTTTGGCGGTGCAGATAAACTTCCCGTGCTCTCCTCTTGGTGACGTGCTAAGCAAGAAGTCTAACCGGCCTTGGTCTGTCTTGGACTTGGTGGATTCACAATGAGGTTGGGCTTCTCAACCGGGGTTGGGCTTTAATACATAAATTGGACTATTTGGACTTAACCCATCACCATCTATAATAGGAACATACAATAGCATCACCTTTCTTGCTTTTCCTTCTCCTTTGTTCATTATACCCTTGTCCTCTTTTTTTTTTCCTTTTTGTTTTTTTCATTTGACTTGTAAAATCCATAGGAATTTTATAAACCATTTAAATATTAAAAAACTTGAGTAGTCCTGAATAAAGGTGTAATCTCTTTGGAAAGAGGGAGAGATTGTTAGTTATTATTGACCAGTGGCTTTTGTCTTCTTCCGTCGGCGGATGCCCCCCGCCGAGGCTATAAAAAAAAAAAAAGCAACTCCATTAGTTTTCTGAAAAGTAAGTATATCTGGGATAGAGATTTTTATAATAAAAATTCGGAAAAATTACACTCAAACTTTTTAAATTTATCATTTAATTACTCAAGTTCTCTCACATTTATATACAATTATACTATCTATTGGAATAAAATTAAAAAGTCAAATAAGGGGTCTAAATCATTATTAATAGAACATGAATTTTACAATTAAAATTCATGTTCTATTATGTCATTTATTTAAATAAAATTAAAACTAAAAATCTAATTTTTTTAAAAAAAAACATAGTTAGTATACAATTATAATATATATTAGAATAAAACTAAAAAATTAACAAAGGGTCAAATTATAATAAACACAATATTTTTAGCTTCAATCGGGATAGTTTGATATTTTAATTTGGTCATTTAAAAGATCAAATTAATTCCAATAGGTAATATAATTGCATAATAATTACAATTTTTTAAGAAAATTTTGAATTTTTATTTTAGTTCAATAAATGATACAATAAAACATGAATTTTAATTATAAAATTTAAAATATTTAATATTCTATCTTTGATTAAAGTATTTTTAGTTTAAATATAACATTTTAAATTTAAGGGGCCTAAGTAATATGTGTTTATAAACTTTAAAGAGTCTGAATGTAATTTATTGATGAATATATTTACAGCACGGGTCTAAATGTTATGCGCGTACAAAATTCAGGGGTTTGAGTGTAATACGTTAAATGTCAAGGAGTTTGAGTGATTAAGTAACAAACTTCAAGTAGTGTGAGTGTAATTCTCCCTAAAAACTATTGTTATGTTCTTGTCCATAATTTTTAATTCTCTGATATTATAATTTGAAGGAAAGGATGACACGCGCCATTTTTGATTTATATTATTACTGGTATGTTAGGGGATCTTTGTGTAATTTGTGAAAGGATTGTGCTATTGTACAACTTAGAGAGAGTATAGATTATTGCTGAATTATGAGAGGGGCTTCGTATAAATTGGAAAACACTACTACCTTTCTCAAGCTTAATTAATAGTATAGGAAATTTATAATGCATGTTCTGACCTAGTTAAAAAGGTATATTATTGAAGAGTCAATTCAATAATATATTGTTGAGAGGGAGGATTTCTTGCAAACTGTAAGGTAGTATGGGAACAGCCAATTGTGGGGACTAAACAATACCAAGTGGTTGCACAGTTAAAACTGTTGAAGAGCGTGATCGAACCTCAATCTGAGAATGTAACTCTGAGAGCCAAAGCTGCTAAAATGGAGCTTGACCAAGTTCAGCATCACCTGGTCTTGCAACCTTTGAATGATGAGCTTAGAAGCCAAGAAAATATTCTTTTAGAAAAGTATGTAGTCGATGTTGGAAATGAGGAAGCTTTTTGGAGGCAGAAGTCAAGAATTCAATAGTTGAAAGAGGGTGATCAAAATACTGGGTTCTTCTTTAAGACTGTTGCTGCAAGAAGGAATTTGAAGAGGATTGTTTCAATCACCAGACAGGATGGGTCCACTACTGATAATCCTGAGGAGGTTAAACAAATTGTGGTTGATCATTATAAGGTTTTGTGTGTTATTTTTTTTTAGGGGGGGGGGGGGGGGGTTGGGAAATCACCTAGAGCTTTGAACAAGACTCAAGTAGTGGGGTGCCTTAGATCTAGTGGTCTTTCTGCTTAGCTAGCTGCAGACATGGCTCGGAATGTTTCAGAGGAGGAAAAGGTCTTTTCTTGTCAATCCACCCTAATAAGGCACCTGGACCTGGCAGATGTACGGGTTGTTTTTTTAGGAAAGCTTGACCAATTATGGTTGCAGACATAACTTGTGTAGTACAAAAGTTCTTCATGAATGGTCGCCTTCTAAGAGAAATCAACAATACCATCATTACACTAGTGCCTAAGGTCTCAAATCCTTCAGGAATGAGATCATAGGCTATATCATGTTGTAATACACTATAAGATCATCTCCAAGCTTTTGCAAACAGAATGAAAAGCATTTTGCATGAGCTTATTGTCTTAACCAAGCTATCTTTGTCCCAGGTAGGAGTATTGGTGATAATGTGTTGTTAGCTCAGGAGATAATGAGGAATTATCATAGAGAAGGTGGCTGCCCTAGATGTGCTGTTAAGGTAGACTTGAGGAAAGCTTATGACACTCTTGATTGGGAGTTTCTCCTCCTTGTTTTAAGGCAGTGGAATTTTCCTGAAGTCATGATTGGTTGGATTTCCACTTGCATTTCTACACCCAAATTTTATGTCTCAATAAATGGTGAATTGAATGGGTTTTTTTCTTAGCTGCAGAGGGTTGAAACAAGGGGTCCATGTCCACTTATCTGTTTGTTATAGCCGGGGAAGCTCTTATACAAATTCTGAAGACTTGAGGTGGCTGCAACTCCTAGTTTTTAATATAATTTTTTTTTTTAAACTAAAAAATTTAACAAGTTAGATAGGAGGACATTCAGCCTTACCCCTTGAAATTTGCCGCACAAGAATTTCAAAGCAATTTAAATTTTAAAGATGCCAATATTTTTGGAAAAAATCCTTAAAATTCTCGACAGTAACTCTCCCTTGCTAGATTGCTTTGCTTGAAAAAAGATCTTAGCAATCTATTCCTTGTTGTTGGAATCTAGAGGATTATCACACACTCACAAAAATATATAAAAATATATAATAGAAGAGACTATTAAAGATATGAATAAGTCTTTCAATTCACTCATATTCAAATGGATGTATTATATATGATATATATAGACTCTCACATATAACACAAAACATACAAAACAACTATATTATATAATGCAATGGTAAAAATAATAAAGACCACACTCGTCAATTACTTGGAGAATTAAAATATCACAATTATTGTCTCCCACTATTAACAAATTGATAACCCACTAATACAAAAACTAATTACATAAAATAACTTTTAATACATGAAAAGTCATGTTTATTACTATTTTTCAACAACCCTCCTTAAACATAATTCTTCTTATCAACTCCAAACAAACTTCTCAATTTGTAAAATATATCCTCTTTGAGGGGTTTAGTAAAAATATCGGTAATTTGGTCTTGAGACTTTACAAACTTGAGCTTCACCACTTTCTTGGTCACATACTCTCTAATGAAATGGAACTTTGTATCAATATGCTTACTATGATCATGAAACACCAGATTATTTGTCAACGCTAGTGCCGATTTTTTGTCAATGAAGATCTTCGTCGATTCTTCTTAAAGTAAATGCAGCTCATTCAACAAATTTTTAAGCCAGATAGCTTGACAAACACATGATGTAGTTGTAATATACTATATTTCACAAGTTGAAAGAGTCACAATGGGTTGCTTCTTTGAACTCCAAGCAAATACGGTATCTCCCATGAGGTGTACATATTGGCTTACAATCTTGTATCTTGAATTTTGTCAAAATTGCTTTAACATAACCTTCTTTGGAGATGCAAATACCTTTTTTCATTTGCTTCACTTCAATGCCAATGTAGTATGGCATAAACCCAATGTCAGTCATCTCAAATTCTTTAGTTATTGCTTTCTTGATATCTTTAAACATTCTTGGACAATTTTCTGTGAAGATAAAATCATCCACATACAAATAAGCATAGCCTATATCACAATTATTATTCATCTTTGCATAAAAAACAAGTTCATGGGGACACTTGCTGTAATTATATGATTGAAAGTATTTGTCATGTCTACTATTTCAAGCTCTTGGTGTTTGCTTCAAGCTATATAAAACCTTTTTTAATATTAAGACTTTCTCTCCTTGCCACAACATAACCCAAGGGTTGTTCAACATACACCTTTTCATCAAGAAAGCCATTCAAAAAAGCAGACTTCACATCCAATTGGTGAATTTTTTAATCATTTAGAGCAGTTAAAAAAATAATCAGTCTAATTGTTTTCAAACGAGCAACGGGTGCAAATACCTCATTATAGTCAATACCCGGCCTTCAACTATAGCTTTTTGCTACAAATCTTACTTTGCACCTCTCCACTTCACCTTTGACATTTTTCTTTGTTTTGTACACTCATTTTAATCGAATGGTCTTTTGTCCTCTAGGGAGAGTAGCAAGTTTCCATGTTCCATTCCTTTCAATTGCTTCAATTTTTTCATTCATGACACTTATTCACTTCTCGTCTTATGTTACTTTTTCATTGCCTATGGGATCACAATCAGTAAATAGGCAAAAGAGTGTTAGATCACTAAATCTTTCAGTTACCTTTTTGATTTTTTCATAGATATCTTGAAAACTCCTCATGCAAGGTGGTCTTTCACTTGAAGTTGCTTCGGATGATGATGGAGATGCTTGCACATTGGTGGGTGATGGTGGAGGAGAATAAATGGGCAATTCCATGATCTCATTGAGCTCATCCTCTTCTTTAAAGAATGAAAAAAAAATCATAATCTTCTTGTGAAGTGTTATAATCCTATTCATCTTTTTTATCAAACTTAATATCTCTACTAATGATTATCTTGTCACTGCTTAGGTTGCAAAGCTTGTAACATATGCATCTTGAATCATAGCCAATGAAGACAAAATTTTTGTTCTTGTTATCCAATTTTATCCGTTTCTCATTCGACACATGTGCATAACATACACTTCTAAAAACCTGCAAATGAGAAACATTTGGCTTGATTTCTCCCCTACTTCTTGTGGTGTTTTTTCTTGAACACTTCTAATGGGACAACAATTTAACAAGTAGATGACATAATCAATAGCTTCCGCCCAAAACTCGTTGGACATTTTCTTACTCTTTAACATACTCCGAGCACTATCAAGAATAGTTTGGTTCTTCCTTTTGGTAACACCATTTTATTGTGGTGATTTTGGAATTGTTAGGGGAAGGTGAATTCTATTTTCTTCACAAAAATATTTGAATTCATTTGATGTGAATTCACCTCCTCTATCGGATCTAATTGCCTTAATTTCATATCCACTTTGTTTTTCAATCAAAGCCTTAAATGTTTTGAAAATATCAAATACCTATGAATTTTGTTTTAGAAAATAAACTCACATTTTTCAACTAAAATCATCAATAAAGAGAAAAAAATACCGGTTCTTACCAAATGATAGTAGGGCTATAGGCCCGCAAATATCCAAGTAAACAAGTTGAAGTGGTTTGATTGCTCTTGAAATGAATTCTTTGAAAAAAAAAAATTTCTAGCATGCTTTCTAATTAGACATCCCTCACAAAGTTGATTCAAATGGTTGATAGAAGACAATCATTTTACCATATTCTTTCTGGACAACAAAGTTAGTCTTGCAAAATTTAAGTGCCCAAATATCAAGTGTCATAACCAAGAAGAATCTTTAACACATGCTTTCAAGCATTTGACCACATCACTTTGAATAATTAACAAAAATATTATATTTCTTGTCATCAGCACTTTAGCAACCAAATTTTCATTTCCATCTCTTATTGAAAGATTATAATTTTGCATACAAATATTATAACATTTCTCTAAGAGTTGTTTCAAGTTCAAAATATTATTTTTCATGTTTGGCACATAAAAAATATTAGCAATAACTTTGTATCTTCCATCCTTCAAACGAATCAAAATATTACCTCTTCCCATTACCCGAATTTGAGAAAAATCTCCAAAAGTGACTTTTCCACTCACCGACCATCAAACTTGCAAACATCTATTTATTTTCCACACATACGATTACTAGCACCGGAGTCAAAGTACCACATGTTCTTATCTTCATTTTGCTCTTCTTTTAATGCCAATAAGGTCGACTTTACCTCTTCAACATTATCTTTAATAAAGTGTACTCTTTCTTTTATAAAATCATTTCTACACTCAGAAGCAAAATGACTATATCGTTGACAATTATAACATTGAATATAAGATTTGTCATACCTCCCTCCATATAACTTTGAATTATTGCCTCTTCTTCGTCTTCTTCCACGGTGTGATTCATGGCTTCTTTCTCTTTTGTTGGACGAATTTTGGCCAAAGTGTTCTCCTCTACCTCAATCACATCCACTACGACCTCCACATCCATGTCCACGCCATCTGCCTCTTTGACTTCCACCTTTCCATCTTTCCTTCTTTATTTTGTCTTGAAAGAAAGATTGGTTTGTAGCAATTGTTTCAACGACTCTTGCTTCTTCTTGCCTAGCTATTTTTCATGGGCTAATAACGATCTCCTGAGTTCGTCAATTATAATTGTGTTTAAATCGTTAGACTCTTCAATGGTTACGACAATATAGTCAAACTTGTGGTCCAATGAACGAAGGATTATTTCTATCACCAAGACATCATCGCAGTGATCATCACCATACGTTTTCAAATTATTCACAATCACCAAGATTCTAGTGAATTAATTTGAAACTAATCGAATTCTTTCATACGTAAAATTTCAAATTCACCTCATATAATTCAAATGCGAACTTTCTT